TTAGTTTAGTTTTCCTTTGTTTTGTTTTGTTTTGTTTTGTTTTGTTTTGTTTTGTTTTGTTTTGTTCTGTTTTGATCTTGTTGCCCCCATTTCACAATTGCCCAATTGACTCAGATTCCTTTATTTGTGAATTTTTTTGCTTGCCTTGTTCTGTAATGCATCCCTATATTTGAAGAGTCATGGTCTGGTCCCAACCTCCCCCTGTACCATTCAATCTGAAATCTTTTCTTTCCTTGCAATTTCTTGCATGGATTAAATTCCATATGATATCACATCCCCAACGCCCAAGCTCACCCACCTCCCGCTTATTACCATTCGACTCAAATCCCCAGTTATCCACCTATTTCCCTACCTGTAATAGTTGCATTTGACACCACTCGCTCCTCCCACTGGTTTTTGCCTCTCCTCTCATTCTCATCGAATCCAAAAAAATCTCTTCTATAGCGCCTCAAAGAATTAATGCCATCTGAAAAGAATTAATGCCATCTGAAATTACCTCTTTGCTTAAGCTGAATTCACTTCTTTTACTCCCCCTTGTTTTCCTGTATCATTTCCAATTGAGAACCCCTCCATCTGCTCTATTCACCACCACATTTCCACCTTCACCATCCAATTTGATGTCTCTTCATTCATTACATCTCGCTTTCTATACCAATGTCAACTGCTAACAATTCACTTGCCTCAATCTTTCTGTCTTTCCTTTATTTAGTTTGAACGTTCCCTGCTCTCATTTAATTGGTTTCTTCAACGCATCAATCCCATATTATATCACCTAAACACTCACACCTCTCAAAGCGAGTAGCTTTCTTTAGCCTCCTGCCTTTCTACTCCATTGAGCCAGCCCTACCTCCCATTACATCATTGACATGCCACTTTTACCCCCCATTCTTATCTTCCACCAATACCAATTGATATCAATTCCTGCCAATCCACCTGTGCTGTGCTCCACCATATAATCTTTAACATAAATTGGTTCTTACACACTCCACTTCTCATCCATTCTTTCATTTTCATTCCTCCCCCTTCCTCTGTCTTGTGGTCCTTTATATTCCTGTGTTGTCTTTTCTCCTCTAGCCCCTACTTGTCTTGAATTATCCAATCCCCGTATCTTTCTTCTTTACTCTTGTCCATTGTATTCTTTTACTAATTACCTATTACCTATCCCTCAAATTGTTGTATTATTTTCTATCTTCTCTTTTTTGATTTTCTTTTATTGTGTATTGACTTCCTTTATTTTCTTGGCTTATCTTTCCTTTCATTTTCTTTCTGATCTTGAACCACAGCCCACATGGCCCATGAGCTCAGGGCTACAGGGCCAAGATTTCCATGGCCCCAGAACCCAAGGATTCATGGCCCAGGGGGGGGCGGCCCAGGACCCCCAGGCCCACCAAGCCCAGGAAATTGTACAGGTATCGTTTTTCGGCCAAAAATTGGCCCCTTGAATCAATCAACCCAAAACGATCACGGAGGCGCTACAGATCACCCAAACCTCCACGCAGTCCATCCACCCACCCAAGCCCAAAAGAAACCACCCAGGCGATCACCATCCCCCATAGACCCGTCTCATCGAAGTGGACGAAAAGGAACCAACAAAAAAGGCTCATCGACAGGCGCTCTTTGAAGGTTGCGACTCAAGGTGAGTTTGGATCGACTCCACAGACGTCATTTTTCCACTTGACCGCCAAACGCATTTCCATTTCTTTGCCGTTTTTTGGGCTTCAATCGTTCAGTTGGAGCAGTCACTGACCCTTTGTTTTGTCCCTTCTTGACTTGATGCCATTCCTTTCCGGTGATCAATCTACGATTTGTTCATTTCTAATCGGCGGTAAATGCGAATCCGCGATGACACTACTACAAAACCCAGGTGAGTGAATGACTTCTTGGCCTATCCCTTCATCAAGTGCTCCTCCTTCCATTCCACCTCACAGTCTAATAGACTGTACTCTCGATTCCGCAGTCGACAGGCGGTATCTCAAGGTGGGTCCTTTCTTGCTTATCGGAGGTTTTCTTCACCCAACTGTTGCGTCCGTCTCCTCCTGCTCCATACCTCTTCTACCCTTACATTTATTAAGGGGTCATATTGACCCAATCTTACCCCACCTCGTTTGACAGGCTAACAAACGGTCAATTGAATCCCGCGATCGACCAGTCACTTTTGACGGTAAGTCCTCATTTCCTCTACCTGGTTTACAGCTTGATAGACTGTTCTTATTTTTCCGCGATTGAAGTAGACAGCCATTCATCGTGAGTTCTTCATCATTTTTCATCTCGATGTTTGATTGGGTCAATGTCGACCTCTCAGCGGTTCCCAGTCTGATAGGCTGTTTTTTGTTTTCCGCGATCGAAGTAGGCAGCCATTCAACGTGAGTTCTTCGTTATTTTTCATCTCAATTTTTGATGGGGGCGATATCGACCTCTCCCCGGTTCCCAGTCTGATAGACTGTTTTTTTTTTCCGCGATCGAAGTAGGCAGCCATCCAATGTGAGTTCTCGACCGCCACCCCAACTCACTGCAGAACCTCTGACAGAAGGTCAAGAATCCACAGCGATCTACAGGAGCGATAACAGGTGAGTTGCTTTCCTTTATCCCACATCTTCTTATGAAGGGTTCAATATTGACCCCTTCTGGGTCCACAGTCCGATAGACGGTCTTTTTGTCTCCGCGATCAAACCAGTCGCCATTCAAGGTCGGTCTTCTTGGTTTTTCTTACACCTCCATCTTGAAGGGTTGACATGGACCCCTCCCGGCTTCACAATCTGATAGGTTGTCTTTTCATTTCCGCGATCAAAACAGCCGGTTTTCACTGTCAGGCTCTCCTTTTTTCTCACATCCAACTTTAAGGGGCCGATACCGACCCCTCCTTGGCTCACAGATAGATAGACTGTTTCTTTATTTCCCCGATCGAAGCCGAGATCCATTCAAGGTGAGGTTTATTTTTCTTTTCACTTGATTTTTTCACGGGGTCAACATGGCCCCCATCTGGGTGCACAGTCTGATAGACTGTCTTTACGTTCCCGCGATCAAACCAGCCGCTGTTCAAGGTTGGTTTTTCTTTTCTTTCACCTCGATCTTAAAGGTTCTTTTTCTTTTTGCTTCATTATCTTAAGGGGCCGATTTGGACCTCTTCTGGTTTCACAGTCTCATAGACTAATTTTAATTTCCTCCATCAAAACCGACTTCCATTCAAGGTGAGTTTCTCATTATTTTTACCTCTCTATATAAAGGGGCTGATACTGACCCCTTCTGGGTTGACATTCTGATAGTCCAGAGGCTAATAGACAGGCTTTTGACTTCCGTGATCGACCTGTTCGTTCTCAAGGTAAGTCCTCGTTCCGATCTTTCATTGTAGGGTGATATTGACCCCTCCTTGGGTCACATCTTGATAGACTTTTTTACCGTTTCCACAATCAAAGCCAACGGCGATCAAGGTGAGTTTTTCTTCTTCTTTGCATAATATGAATGGGTTAGAGATATTCTGTTCTGTTCAAGTCAGAATCTGTATGGTTTTAGACTTACTTGCCTTTTCCTTTTGTCTTCTGTCAACAACTGTCCAAACCCAGGTGCAGCTTAACATCCACATCCTCACTTCTCCACTGTCATTCCCCACATGTGATTGCTAAACCCCATGTGTTGATTCATTTACATCCCTACTTCTCAACATAAAGCAAAACAGTTTGGACGCCCCCTTTCTTTCACATCAAGTTTCTCTCTTTTCGGTCTTTGTCATTGAGGTATGATTGAAGAGGGTGGCTTTGCTATGTCTTAATCTGGCTTTTATGGTTTGATTTTGTTGTATTGGGGCCACCTGCTTTTTCCTTATCAGTTACTCATCCTCCCTGTTGATAAATCATGTGGCATATGTTAATTGTTTTATTTAATATTACATGATCAGGCTTGCTTCATTCTAAATACAATTGGTGCCCCACACTATACTGCAATCAAAAATCTGGCATGTACAATTTTTCAACCTCTCATGTGCTCCTTTGGTCCTATTCATCTGCTGCCCTGGATGAAATTGAGTGAAACCTGACCCTAGTTGTGCATTCTTCACTAGTGTACCTCCACATTGAATACTGGACTGCACAATAATATAGGTGTGATTCTGGCTGTCCCTGTGATCCTGCAAAAACCCCATGACTATAAAAAGGGGCCATTACTGACCACCCTTGGGGGTACTTCTCATGACATTGTACTCTCCACTTTCTTGATTCAACAGTTAGATACAACTGCAGGTAATTCAACTTCATGCAAGGGTTTCCTCTGGATTATAGAAGGGGTTGGTACTGATACTAATTACTTTTTTCAAACTGGTGAAATCTCCCTCTTGACAGGAATAGGGTGTGTTCTGATGTTTTGCTTTTAGTCTCTGACCACCCCTCTCCACTATAAAAGGGGCCTATACTGACCACTCTTTTTGATCACTTTTAATTGGTTTGACTCTTGATTCCCAACCCTGGCTGGAGCACAGGTGGGTTTTCACCAAGCTGCGTTTCCAAGATTTACCAATCCTTGACACTGGCCACTGTTCCAATCTTTTTTGCCTCTTATACCAATTCATAATGAATGGGACTAATATGCTGTGTTCTTCTCCTTTTTTTAGAATCTTTAGAATCAACCAATCAATCAGTTTGCTGCTTGAACTACTCACAGACACCAAGACAGGTCAGATCCTATCCATTCTCCTCCTGTTCATATGACTTGTGTTCTGACTTATAGTCTGATTTCCTTCTTTTGAACAGAATACCAAAATCAAAAACCAAAAACATATATATCTTTAAAAGCAAAAAAAAAATTCCCGCTAACATCATGTAAGTAAATTTTGAATGCTTGACTTTGGACTGTGGTGAAATCTGATAAGTTTATTTTATTATTTGCCAACTTGTAGGACTACATCAAAACCAGCCGACAATGGCTATGAGAGCCCTACATCTCCTCTGACGTCCCTGGAGCCTCTCTCACGTGACGATAATCTGATGATCGGTGGCCCAACGCAAGAAGTCATGTCATCCTCGCCTCCGTCTGAGCCCCGCGAAGAGCTACCCATGATTGGAGGGCCAACTCAAGACCTGACGTCACCAGTGGCATCGGCACCAGCTACAGTGCGGAAGCCTGTGGTTGTGGTGAAGAAGACTCCTATAGGAAAGACTAGTACGGGGAAGGACCTCTTTGATACTATTGAGTTGATGGTAAGTTGGAATGCTCTTGTTGACTATCCATGATGTGTTTCCCTGACCGGCAAGGTTTGTATTCAGAAGGGCCTGAAGCGTGTTGAGGTCAAACAGTCAGAGGGGAGTCGGACTGGAGCAGGAGGCTTGGTGAGTTGCATATTCTTTATCTTGTCTGTGAATTAAAGAAAAAGGCTGACACAAGATATTTTCTTACAACCGGGTTCAAGGAGAAGTCTGGTGATCTGGGGGACTCTGTGTTGGTAACTAGTGATAAGTGGACCAAGATCCAGGCAAAAAGGATTACTGCGCCCAAGGAGCAAAGCACAATAACTCCAACAAAGGTAATCTCTGTTTGATTTCTTTTGTGGTTTGAGTTTGGAGTTTTTTAATCTTTGCTGCGGCATTTGACAGGCTCTGACATTTGGCGAGAAGAAGCTGGCAGCAATGAAGTAAGTGGCCTATGTCATCAACATACTTTGAGGACGTTTGTCTGACTGGCATGTATTTGTTTCCCAGGAAAAACCTTACGGCTGTCCAATACCGGACTACCCCGCAGCAAGGCATTGCGTTGGATCCTCAACTCTCTGGCGATGAAGATGGGAATAAGGGGAAGAAGAAAAAGGTGTGTTTGTCTCCTTTTTGTCAGCTAACATACCTTGTAACTTATAACTTTTGGATCTGTTTGTCCACCAGGCATCTCCGGCAAAGAAGAAAAAGGCCACAGCGTGAGTACCAGTGTCTCCTGTTGTATCTAACTGTCTGGAGATATCTGACTGGAATTTTTCTTGATCTCAGCATAAGCCTGCCCACAGATGTAGATGCTCTGGAGCCAGTTGGAAGCTCTGCAGTACCTGTGGAAGAAAAGGTGTGTTTGTCCTCTCTTTTCTTGGTTACAGTTTGTACAATTGGTAAACTGAAATGTTTGATTACTGCTGTTCAACAGGCTCCTGCTGCAAAGAAGAAGAAGGCTCCATGGTAAGCTATGTGCTGTTCTCTTTGATTTGATTTGGGTTGATATATCTGACCAGTGTTTTTCCTGATGGACAAGTTTGCCACTGGTACAAGATGCTCAGGGTCCAGTTGCTGGTGCTGCAGTCACTGGGAAGAAAAACGTGTGTTTGTTTACTCTTTGATTTTTTACGTTTGGCAGATCTGTCAATTGAGATTAGTTGGATTTGGTTTTTCAACCGGCTTCTCTGGCAAAGACAAAGAAGACCACAGGGTAAGCATTGATGTCTTTCTGCTCATTTCATCTGGAGTGAGATATCTGAACTATGATTTTCCTCATCTTAGGAATTGCTCAGCACCAGTTGAGAAGGCTGCGGGGTCTGTTGGTCAACCCGGAGGACCAGGAGGAAAAGATATTCCCAAGTGAGTGCTCATTCATGGCTGCCCTCCCATTGACATGTTGGGGGCTGACTCTTCTGTAAATTGTGGTAGGAAATCACTGGCCCCTCAACCAGACTTGCCCGGTTCAGCTGATCTTGCCTCAAAGGACACTGCTCAAGTTGGCGAACATGCAGAGGAGCCTTGCCTGGCAACTGTGAACAAGCGATTGGACGTGGATGGTGGTCGGGATACATTGGAACGAACTAGGACTGGTGTGGCGGTTGGCGAGTCAGGAGCGCCTGCAAAGACGACGATCAGCAAAGGGCCACCAGATGACGTTGGACAATCAACACATTTGGCGAGTCAGTTGGCTGTCCCAGCGGTTCCACTCTCTCAACCAGCTTTGGAGAAATTCACCGGGGTCGGCCTGGACAACTCAACACAAGATGGCCTTGACACGGTTGGTTGGTCTGCCGGGGTGTCAGTTGGATTGGCTGGCATGGTTGGGAATAATGCTGCCATGGTGGACCGGCCAGATCAGCCTGAACCGTCGATGGACTTGGAAGACTTTACAGCGACACAGGATGGACTGATGAGGATGCTTTCAGGATTAGAAGTGGGTTGTTTTTAACATTCATGGATTTGGCTCATTTGCTTACATTCTAACGTGACATCTGGTCATACTGCTAGACTCTTACTCCTCTGCCTGCCAACCAGTTGCATGCGCGTGCGGCTCATGCAGCCTCTGGGGATGACGTTCAAGATCAGTTTCCTGACCAAGATGGGGGCGACCCGTTGGACCCTAGTTGGAGTAAAAGGGTGGAGCAGGCCCTGGCGCGCAAGAGGGCCCAGGAATATTGCGCCCTGGCCAAGGCGGAGCAGGAAGAACAAGAGGTGCAAAACCAAAAGGCATGGGTACGTCAGGCAACCTGAAGTTAACCTGCCTGGGGTTCTGACTTTTTGATGTTTCTTATAGCGTATGATGGTTGAGAGGTACTTGGGTATCCGGCCAGTAGGCGAGGAGAGTGGGCCTGGTGTGGAGTTCCTTGTGGGTTTGGTACCTCCCCTCGACAATGATCAGATTCTGGTGCTCCAGGAGGTTCGGTCCTGGGACAAGATCAACGGATTGGAATTGGGCTTCATGCGGTGGGAATGGGAAGGTGGAATGGATGACGACCTTATGAGGCCAGTCCCAACGTGGCTCATCAAAGACGGAGTTGAGGTCAAGTGTTTCATTGACGATGCGGCTCATGAACGGCTGGCTCGATTTATGGGAAACCAGCCCTGGGACTTCTACCAGCTCCCAATCTGCTATGGATCGGCTTTTGCCTCTCGGGACGAGTGGGAGAAAGCGGTCAAGAACGACACTCTGCTGCAGCCGGATTCCCCAATTCCGGACGAGGACATTGAGACCACGGCTACGGCATCACCGGATACTGCGGTTGCGAATGGTTCCCTAACGCTGAATGAACTGTACCAGAAGATTTTCAATCCAACTAAGGGCCGCAATGTTCACAGGTTTCGCTACGAGTCAACAGGCCCGGGAACGCCCTGCAGAAGGGATGATGGTTTGACTAGTTTGGAAGATCTCAAGTTGCTGCTTGGTATTTGTAAGTGGTAGTTTGCTTCTGCCTGATGGCTCCTTGGTTGGCAGCTGAAATGGAATAAATTTGTAGGGAGCCGGACGAAATTTGGGCTGAAGATTGATCTGAAGATGCTGAAGGACAAGGGGCTTCATACTGCCTCACCGAAGCTGTTTGCGGAAAACTTGAAGAGACTGGACGATATCTCAACTTATATTGATGATCTCAAGGCCCAAATTCGTGATTGTGAAGCAAACAAGACCACCGCTGTCAAGAAGGTAGTTGATCTCAAGAGGGCTGAGGTGCTTCAGCCAACCAAGCGTAAGCCTTTCTGATGCTTGCAGCATTCGAGATCATTGGTTGATTATTGAAGGGTTTGTTCTACAGGGAAACATGTTGACGTTGAGGTTCAAGATGTTACGGCCCCGCCCAAAAAGAAGACTAAAGCTGCTCCTGCAGTTGCGGTTCAAACGGCAGATCCCCCATTGAAGAAGAAGACGAAAGCTCCCTCTGAAGTGGCCACCCCCAAGGTGGCAGCTGCTGCAAAGAAGAAGACAACAAAGGCTCCCGGTGGTTCGGAACCGAAGAAACTGGCGAGCAAGAAGACAAATGGACGAGCGGGTGGGTTGGAGTCAGGGTTAGGGTTACAAGGGACTCCCCAGGGCCAGGGTAGCAATATTCTACCAAGTTATATTGCATAATAAGCTTCATATTGCATGATAAGCTTCATATTGCATGAAGTATTGCATTGCATGATGAATTACATTGCTTCGTGGTGAGCCCAGAGGTCCGGCCCGTCACTGTCAACAATCGTCTCTAGGTCATCGCACAAAATCCAACAAAGTTAACATATTAAACCCCCAAACTGTATTCAGAAAAAGCTCAAGGATATGAATGACGAGAGAAGCGTGCA